TTCTTCTAATTATCTTATCTCCCTATATTTTCTTTTCTCTTGCTTTTGTTTGACCTTTACTTTCTTCCTTACCGCATTCTTTTTTTTTATGATTTTTTTATTTTATTTTACTACTGTATTTCATTTTCACTTTTTCTCTTATTTCGTATTCTGTTGTAATTTAAATGCTTCTAATTATTGTTTCATTTTTAAATTTCTTTCTGACATTTTTCTTTCTTTTAATTTATGAGTTTACCCCCTCAGCCACGCACATATTGTCTCTCTACCTCTTCTCATCTTTCTGCTTTTTTTTTTTAATCAATTTAGCAGGGCGATAATGCCACTAAGACGCAAGGGTCTACTGTGAATGAGGGAGAAGAAAAATAGTTTAGTAGGAACAGCCAACCCAATCCTAAACCGAGTAAAGGGATTAATCTCTACTCCTATTCAAAATAATGGGAGGACTGTGAACCTAGCGTCCAGTTCACACTCCTCCCCTGTCTTTTTAATTTATTTTTTTTTACTTAGTCTGGCACAAGGTCACCAACGTTGATCATCCACATTTAACATACAATACTCGTAATAGCCCGTGAGACTCGCTCGCCATCAACGACTCTCTAACAAGATGAAAACACACACAGACGCATGCACGCAAACACACACACACTTTCTTTCTCTCTATATATCTCTCGCTTTCTCTCTTTTCATTCTATCGGTCTCTAGGGGTACCTGTAGGTGGTGTAATGGTTAGCAAGCTTGTCTCGCTCAGAACTATTGCGACTGAGTAGTGAGTTCGATCCTCACTGGGTACCTCATACTTTCAGCCTTGTGCCACATCTGAGCTACGCTAAGAAAATCACTATCGCTCTCTAGCATTTTCTCTCATTCCATGCAGTTAAAGCAAGGGCACCTCGGCGTGGTGTGATGGTCAGCCAGCCTTGTCTTGATTGAACAATTACAACTGAGTAGTGAGTTCGATCCTCACTGGGTGCTCCACACTCACGGCCTAAAATTGTATACAAAATATTTAAATTCCAGCATTAAATAACACATAGAGATAGATATGCCGCTAAAAACATCAACCAAAGAACCAAATTTGAAAAGACAGGACATAAATCCATGAATATATCCTACAATTTCATAACTAAATCAAATTGTATTCAAAAATATAATTTTAACAAAACGACAACAAAAAACACATATCATTGCCTCTAGTGATGATGTCTTTCCAAACATATACATAGACGAAACCTGAGTCAGGCACCTGCAGGTGGTGTAATGGTTAACAAGCTTGTCTCGCTAGAACAATTACGACTGGGTAGTGAATTTGATTCTCACTGAGTGCCTCCTACTTTCGGCCTTGTGGCACATCTAATCTACGATTGGAAAATCACTATATATAAAGGTGGTCACCTCGAAGCGGTGTAATGGTTAGCAAGCTTGTCTCGCTAGAACAATTACGACTGGGTAGTGAGTTCGATCCTTACCGGGTGCTCCTTACTTTCGGCCTTGTGCTACATCTAAACTACGCTTGGAAAATCTATATATGGTTGGTCACCTCGAAGGGGTGTAATGGTTAGCAAGCTTGGCTCGCTAGAACAATTACGACTGAGTAGTGAGTTCGATCCTCCTAATTTCGGCCTTGTGCCACATCTAAGCTACGCTTGGAAAATCACTATACAGTTAAAGCTTTTCGTCCCAGTTAAAGAATGGAATAAAAGTTGCTGAAAATTTCAGCCCAGCTAAGGAGGCTTTCCAAAAAATATCTATTATGGTACCATTTCATAAGATCTAGGATACAAGATCTGACCGAGAACTTTTCAGCTCTCTATCATAGATAATTGTCTTTTTCCATCTTCTTTCTTTCACGCCTTAATTGTTTCACACCACCCTATATTTTTTTTTCTTTTTTTCGTTTTCTTACTTCATAATGTCTGGAAGTAAACAAAAATGGAGAAATTTCTTGCCATGCTGCCCCACTACAACTAATTTTTCAAACAATTATGTTTCTCTATGTTCTAAGCAATTAAACCTAATCCAATCCCGTTGAATCTCATCTCATTTAATTTAATCTAAACCAATTGAGTATATTTCCTAGTCAAATCAATTCTCGTCAGCCTTAGCGAAAAGAAATCGCGTTGGAGTCAGCCCGTTGACACAAACATGAACCTTATAGAGCTGGAATTTTTATCAGTGAAAGAGAATGCATAAAGAGGAGAAAGATCGAAATTGAAGAAAGAGACAAGAAGGAAGAAAAACGTAGAAGAATAACAATGAATGGAAAAGGGGTGGCAAAATAGAAAGGAACGAAGGAAAGTGTAAATAAAACGTACTGAGAGGAAGACAAGATAGAAAGTAGAAATAAAATGTAAGAAACAGAAGATAATGAAGAAAAAATAAAGAACGAAAGAATGATTTAAAATAATAAAGGGCTGGAGATATTAAATAGTAAAAAGAAAAAGAAAAAAGAAATCATTAAGAAACATTATCGAAGAAAAAAGATGCGCGAAAACCTAAATGA